CATCAAAGAAATAAGCGAAGAGGACATGACTGAGATAATAAATTTTCAGAGAATAGGGGGGTATTCAAAGAGGAGAAATCGGCCAAAACTGTGCAGAACAGGGTCTTACAAGAGAAACCTCAGCTGAAGGAAACAACAGTGACAGGAGTGGCATGAAAGAATCAAAGAAGCACCACCTGAACAGAGGGTGTTCCTAGACTGACAGAATGAGAACAGAATGACAGCAACCGAGGGAGAGGACACAGAAATGAAAGGGGCTAGAAAGAGAGAGAGAAGGATAAAGGCAGCAGAGGATAACCAGAGCCTGGCAGAGCAACAGGCACACACACACACAGAACCACTCTCAGAACCCCTCAGCCAAACACACTATCCCAGTACGAAACACACTTACAGCCCCCACCCCACACAATGCAGTAGAATCCTACAGCACCCTGCCAGGTTCCCCACTCCCTCAACCTCCACAAGCCCCCCAGAACACAGTATTGGACATGAAACTGAAGGTATCGTATACCAATGGTGATTGAATAATGAACAAGTGCCAGGAGTGGCATGACAGAATCAAAGAGGCACCACCTGGCATTATTGCTCTCACAAAAACTAAGCTCACAGGAATGATAACAGATGCCATCTTTCCAACTGGTTATCAGATCCTGGGAAAAGACAGAACAGAGGGGGTGGAGGAGTGGCACTGCTCATCAAAAACCAATAGGATTTTGAGGAGCCGGAGAGAGGAGACAGAGAAGCAAGAGACTACATAATAGGAATGCTTCAGTCTGGAGATCCCACCACAGAATAGCAGGAGGCCAAGGCAAGAATATGATGAGAGTAACAAAGAAATGGTCAACAAACTGGCTGAAGTGTCCAGAAGGGCTCATAGGAGCAGGGCAAAATTACTGATTGTGGGTGACTTCAATCACATAGAAATTGGCTTGGAAAACCTGAAGCCACGTGGGGGCCTCAAAACGTGGAGGGCTAAGATAATGGAGGTGGTACTGGCAAATCTTATGTACCAACACAAAGGACACTACCAGAGAGAGAGAGGAGAGGACGAATCAGCAAGACTGGACCTGGTATTCATCTTGAGTAGTGCAGATATTGAGGACATCACACATGAAATTCGGACCCCTAGGGGCCAGTGACCACATGGTTGAGCTTCAAATACATAGAGTTACAAGTGGAGAGGGAAGTAGGAAGGGAAGGACAAATGAAGCCAGACCACAAGAGAGGGGACTACAGAGGCAGTAGGAATTTCCTGCACAAGGGTCAGTGGGACAGAGAACTGGCAAGGAGATCAGTAAAGGATACGATGGAATATGTGACAAAAGTATGCCAGGAAGCAGAGGAGAGGTTTGTGCCCTAGGTTAACAGAAATAGCAAGGCCGGGATGAGCTCTTGGTTCACCCAAAAGTGTGGAGAGGCCAAAACCAGGTGTGCTAGAGGATGGAAGAAGTATAGAAGGTAAAGGAACCAGAAGATTAAGGACAGCAGTTTTAGAGCCAGAAATGAATATGCTCAGGTAAGGAGGGAAACCCTTCGACAGTACAAAAATCACAGCAGCAAAAAACAAATCTGACATGAAGCTGTTGTACAGCCACATCAGGAGGAAAACAGCTGTCAAGGACCAGGTAATCAGGCTGAGGAATGAAGGAGGGGAAATCACAAGAAACGACTGAGAAGTATGTGAGGAGCTCAACATGAAATTCAAAGAAGTATTCACAGAGAAGGCAGAAGGTACTCCAGAAAGATGAGAGGTGGGGCACACCAAATGTTGGACACAATACATACAACCGAGGATGTGAAGAGGCTGCTAGGTGAGCTAGATACTTCAAAGGCGATGGGGTTGGATAACATCTCTCCATGGGACCTAAGAGAGGGAGCATAGGCATTCTGTGTACCACTAGCAACAATCTTCAACACATCTATCTAAACAGGGCAACTGTCTGAGGTATGGAAGACAGCAAATGTAGTCCCAATTTTTAAAAAAGGAGACAGATACGAAGCATTAAACTACAGACCAGTCACGGACATGTATAGTATGCAAAGTCATGGAGAAGATTATCAGAAGGGTGGTGGAACACCTAGAAAGGAATGAGCTTATCAACGACAACCAGCATGGTTTCAGGGATGAGAAATCCTGTGTCACAAGTCTACTGGAGTTCTATGACATGGTGACAACAGTAAGACAAGAGAAAGAGGGGTGGGTAGATTGCATTTTCTTGGACTGTAGGAAGGCTTTTGACACAGTTTTGCACAAGAAATTAGTGCAAAAGCTGGAAGCCAGGTAGGTATAACAGGGAAGGCACTGCAATGAATCAGAAAATACCTGACAGGAAGGCAACAGAGTCATTGTACGTGACGAGGTGTCAGAGTGGGCACCTGTGATGAGCAGGATTCCACAGGGATCAGTCCTAGGACTGGTGCTGTTTCTGGCATATATAAACGTCACGATGGAAGGAATAGACTCAGAAGTGTCCCTGTTTACAGGTGATGTGAAGTTAATGAGGAGAATTCAATCAGAGGAGGACCAGGCAGAACTACAAAGGTATCTGGACAGGCTGCAGGCCTGGTCCAGAAACTGGCTCCTAGAATTCAACCCCACCAAGTGCAAAGTCATGAAGATTGAGAAAGGGCAAAGAAGACCTCAGACGGAGTACAATCTAGGGGACCAGAGACTACAAACCCACTCAAAGAAAAGGATCTTGGGGTGAATGTAATACTGAGCACATCTCCTGGGGTGCACATCAATTAAATAACTGCTGCAGCATATGGGTGCCTAGCAAACGTAAGAGTAACTTTCTGACATCTCAGTAAGAAATCATTCAGGACCCTGTACACCGTGTACGTCAGGCCCATATTGGAGTATGCAGCACAAGTTTGGAACCCACACCTAGCCAAACACAAGGAAATTACTGAGATTCAAGGAAATCGATCTGACGACATTGGAGGAGAGATTGGTAGGATAAGATGACATAAAATACTGAGAGGAATTGACAAGGTGGACAGAGACAGGATGTTCCAGAGATGGGACACAGCAACAAGGGGTCACAATTGAAAGTTGAAGATTCAGATGTGTCACTGGGATGTTAGGAAGTATTTCTTCATCCACAGAGTTAACAGGAAGTGGAATAGTCTGGAAAGTGATATATTGGAGGCAGGATCCATACATAGCTTTAAGAAGAGGTATGATAAAGCTTATGGAGCAGGGAGAGTGACCTAGTAGCAACATTGAAGAGGCAGGGAAAGGAGCTGTGAATCGACCCCTGCAACCACAACTAGGCAAGTACACACCCATCCATCCTCTCTCATACCCATCCACCCTCTCTCACATACCTATCCACCCTCTCTCACATCCATTCTCCCACATGCACCCTTTCTCACCCACCCAATCTTACACCTATGTGCCATTTCTCATGCCCACCCCTCATGCCAGCCCTCTCAAATTCACCCCCCCCATCTCTTACTCAACCTCATCCACCCTCTTTCACATGCATCCACCCACACACCTACCCATCTACCCCTCACACCCACATGCCATCTCATAACCTTCCCTCACTCCCATCCCTCACTTCTATCCTCGCTTACCCATCCTCTTATACCCATCCTCTTATACCCATCCTTCATACCCCTCTCATGCCCACACTTTTTAATACCTGCCTACCAGTCACCGACTCATGCTCTCTCAAGCCCACTCTTTCATACCCACTCACCTTCCCCCCCCCCCCTCTCTTTTACAATTCCACCCAGTTTCATACTTATCCTAGTCTTGATATAATCTTGATATAGCCTTTGTGCAGTCTTGATACAGCTATGTTATAGTCTTGATGCAACCTTGATTCAGTCTTGATGTAGTCTTTGTCTCACCTGATCTCATTCTTACCCTTTCATTTTCTCATCCTTTCTCACTTTCCCTTCCTCACATCTTCACTGTAATTTGTTACAGGCTACAATGGCCTTTATGTCCAGTGGTGCCTCCTGAACTAATGACCATTAAAACATCACAATTCGGGAACAACGGACAGTCGGCAGTAACCTACACTCTCCCATCCCCCCCCCCCCCCCACCTTCATTAGTCTTAAATCGAAGGTTCACTTTTGCTATGCACACAAAAGCAAATAATTAATTACATAGATGGTAGGTGAAAAGCAACTCGCTGTGTTTATATGTAGTAAGAAATCACTGCCACACATGATGCACTGTGTGGACCTTCGTGGTCCTACGTTCTTACCAAGGTGAAACAAGGTGGTAAGACAACCAAACAGTTGAGGTGAGCCATAAAATTTTGACAGGCAGTAAATTTCAAGGTACAAAAAAAGCTGTGTAAATTTATGTCAGTTAGGTTTGGTCCACTGTATATATTTATGTGAAACAAATTGTTAAAACATCAAGGATTTTTATTTGCTATCCTGTACCCATTGTGATCATTTTCTAGTGTCGTCTGTAGTCATCTCAAATTTTTACACCTTAATTTAGTACTCTGTACACAGTTTTAATACTGTACCATAATATAAAACAATGATAGAGTACTTACCAATTCCTGGTTCTTATAGAAAAAGTTATTTGTATTTTTTATTGGTTTGGCTGAGAGAGAGAATTATGGTTTATCCCTTTATTAGAATTTGGTGTAGGTAATATGTTTTTTTGGGATTAATGAGATTCGATTGGGTATATATTGGGTAGTTAAAAGGAAGGAACTTGGATCAGCAGTGAAAGGTATGTGCTTAGAGAATTTTCTTACATGCCACCTTGAGCAAGCATGCCTTAAGCTTGTCTGCCAAACACTTATCAGATTTTTCCATATCCCCAAGCATATATAAAAATTTATAAATTACCGTCATGTAAGTCACATATATCCACAGAAAAGAGATTTAAGGAAGAGAAATCATCTGCTTCCTACATTAGTAGTCAAAACATGTGTCTTTCCTTCACTATTTTTGGCAGTATGACATTTTGTTCCAATTTAATTCATGGCCTGCTAATCATCATTTTTTTTTCTTTTGCAGCTCATACTGTTACTTGAAGAATTACACATGATAGCATCCAGTGATAGAGAAGCACATATAGGTGCCAGATAGACAGTTTCAACAATGTGAGATACGAAGCTCAAACACTGTCAGAATTACTACATTCTGAATGCTGATGTCTAGTAAATTGGTGGAACATAAGTTGAAGTCTCTGTGCCAGTATACTAGTAGCCTCATAGTACTCTCATTTGTTGCAAGTCAAATGCTAGGAAGCTAGTTTATGCTAACTGGCCTAACTTCATATCTGTTCCTATTAGCTTTTTTCATCAACATCCGTTAATAAGTTGTTAATCTCTCTATAAATTTCATTATCCATATTCTCAGTTAACTGCTGGGGGTCTTAAATTTTGTAAAAGTCATGTTTTCTTCTATAAAAACACACCAGATCTTTATTGTTAAGTATCTCGAACATTTACTCGTCAGATTGAATGACTTTTGTTTTCATCCCTAATTTCCTTAATTTCTCTTTCACTCTTAGTTTTATTTTTTCCAAACTTAAACCACTAACTGTTTCGTTTTCCTCATTTGATATTTTTCTCCTAATGTTCACTCAGCCTTTTAAATAAATTATGAAAAACTTTAAAGTTAAAACAGAAAATAAACCATTCCAGTGTTCAGTGTGTCAAAACGAATTTTCTCGCAAATCAAATCTAGTATATCACCTGAGAAGTCATACAGGAGAGAAACCTTACCCATGTACAGAATGTCTAAAAGCCTTTTCTCAAAGATCATACCTAATGAAACACCTGAAAATTCACAGAGGAGAGAAACCACATAAATGTACAGAATGCCAAAAAGTTTTTTCTTACAAATCACATCTAATAGATCACCTTAGAACTCATACAGGAGAGAAACCATATCAATGTTCAGAATGTCAAAAAGACTTTTCTCACAAGTCATGTCTAATAAATCATCTGAGAATTCATACAGGAGAGAAACCTTACCAGTGTTCAGAATGTCAAAAAGACTTTTCTCAAAGATCATATCTAATCAGGCACCTGAGAATTCATACTGGAGAGAAACCACATAAATGTTCAGAATGTCAAAAAGACTTTTCTCGGAAATCACATCTTATAGATCACCTTAGAATTCATTCAGGAGAGAAACTGTATCAGTGTTCAGTGTGTAAAAAAGATTTTTTTCTGAAATCAAGTTTAAAAAGTCACATGAATGTTCATGCAAGAGAAAAACCATATCAGTGTCCAGAGTGTGAACAAGCTTTTCCACAGAAAAAAATGCTAATAAGGCACATGCGAGTACATACAGTAAAGAAACCCTATCAGTGTTCAGAATGTCAAAAAGACTTTTTTTATAAATACCATCTGAAAAGCCACCTTAAAATTCACACAGGAGAGAAACCATTTCAGTGTGTGGAATGTCAAAGGTACTTTTTTCAGAAATCTCATTTAATAAAGCATGTGAAAATTCATACGGGTGAAAAACCATATCAGTGTTCAGAGTGTATTAAAGCTTTCTCAGATAAATCGGGTCTAATAAAACACTTGAGAGTTCATACGAAAGACAAACCATTTTAAACCATGTCTTTTAAATAAATGTAATTGCACTTTAATGGCCCATTTTGAGTTTAAGCATTTATGAAACCAAAAAATTGATAAAAATGTAGTCAGTGTTAGAAAATATGTTTAAAATAATGTTCATATTAAATTATCAAATCTGTAATTTTTTATACTATGTTTTTGTAGAACAATTTTTATTGTTGGCCAGCACAGCATTCAATTGGTTTATTGTGGGGCACACAGTTGTGTCTGATGCTCATTACAATCTATGTTATATATTATTCTGCATACACACACACACCTGGAGCCACATGGGGGCCCAGAAACGTGGAGGGCTAAGATGATGATGGTGATAATTGGAAACCTCATGCATCAACACATTAGGGACACTACCAGAGAGAGAAAGGAGAGGATGAACCAGCAAGACTGGACCTAGTATTCATATTCAGTAGTGCAGATATTGAGGACATCACATATGAAAGGCCCCTCGGTGTTAGTAATCACATGGTTCTGAGCTTTGAATACATATTAGAATTACTGGTGGAGAGAGAAACAGGAAGGGCAGGACAAGTGAAGCCAAACTGCAATAGAGGGGATTACACAAACATGAGAAATTTCCTGCGCAAGGTTCAGTGGGACAGAAAATTGGCAGGGAAATAAGTAAATGATATGATGGAATATGTGACAAGAATATGCAAGGAAGTGGAGGAGAGGTTTGTACCCAAGGGCAACAGAAATAATGAGAAGGCCTGGACGAGCCCTTGGTTCATCCAAAGGTGTAGAGACCAAAAACCAGGTACGCTAGGGGATGGAAGAAGTATAGAAGGGAAAGGACCCTGGAGAATAAGGAGAGTAGTCAAAGAGCCAGAAATAAATATGCTCAGGTAAGGAGGGAGGCCCAACGATAGTACAAAAATGACATAGCAGTGACAGTACAATAATGACATAATGAAAGCCAAGTCCGTACAATAATGACATAATGAAAGCCAAGTCCCACCCAGAGCTGTTTTACAGTCACACCAGGAGGAAAACAGTCAAGGACCAGGTAATCAGGCTGAGGAAGGAAGGAGGGAAGATCACAAGAAACAACTGAGTAATATGAGAGGAGCTCAACACAAAATTTAAAGTATTCACAGTGGAGACAGAAAGGACTCCAGAAAGAGTGGTGGGGTACACCAAGTACTGGACACAGTACATATAACCAAGAAGGAGGTGAAGAGAATGCTAACGAACTAGATACCTCAACAGCGATAGGGCTGGATAGCATTTCTCCATGGGTCCTGAGAGTGGGAGCAGAGATGCTCTGTGTACAACGAGCAACAATCTTCAACACATCTGTCAAAACAGGGTGACTACCTGAGGTATGGAAGACAGCAAATGTAGTCCCAATTTTTAGAAAAAGACACACACACAGCATTAAACTACCGACCAGTGTCACTGACATGCAAAGTTATGGAGAAGATTATCAAGAAAAGAGTGTTGGAGCACCTAGAAAGGAATGAGCTCGTACCTAATAACTAGCACAGTTTCAGGGAAGGGAAATCGTGTTACAGACCTGGCATATATCTTGAGGGCAAGGTGACCGAAGGAGAGGGGTGGGCAGATTGCATTTTCTTGGACAGTTCCACATAAGATATTAGTGCATAAGCTAAAGGAGCAGGCAGGAATAACAGGAAAGGCAATACAATGGATCAAAGAATACCTGAAAGGATGGAAACGAATGATGGATGGTACAGTGAAGTGTCAGAGTGGGCGCCTGTGACGAGCAGAATTCCACAAGGGTCAGTCCTAGGGCCATTGCGGTTTCTGGTATATGTGACATAATGGAGGGGATAGATTCAGAGGTGTTCCAGTTTGCAGACAGTATGAAGATAAATGTGAAGAATTCAGATGGATGAGGATCATGTAGAGTACAAAGGGATCTAGACAGGCTGCAAGCCTGGTCCAGCAACTGGCTCCCGGAGTTTAACCCCACAAAGTCATGAAGATTGAGGAAGGTCAAAGAAGACCGCAGACACAGTACAGGCTAGAGGGCCAAGGAGTGCAAACCTCACTCGAGGAAAAGGATCTTGGGGCGAGTGAAATACCGTGCAGTGGCGAGCACATATCTTTAGGCGCACATCAACCAAATAACTGCTGCAGCATATGGGCACCTACCAAACCTAAGAATAGCATTTCGACACCTTAGTAAAGAATCGTTCAAGACTCTGTATGTCAGGCCTATGTTGGAATATGCAGCACCAGTATGGAACCCACACTTGGTCAAGCACATCAAGAAATTAGACAAAGTGCAAAGGTATGCAACAAGACTAATCCCAGAGCTAAGGGTATGTCCTGTGAGGAGAGGTTAAGGGAACTCAACCTGATGACACTGGAAGACAGGAAGGATAGGGACAGCATGATAACGACATAAAATACTAAGAGGAATTTACTGCTTATGGTGCTGTAACCTATGACAGCTAATGGTACTCTACCCGCAAATTGTAGCTTATGGTACTGTACCCCTGTATATCAGCTTATGGTATTGTATATCTATATGACAGCTTATGGTACTGTAGTCAAGTGACAATTTACGGTTCAGTAGCTCCTTTATAACAGCTTGTACTGTAGCTGTTGCAAATTGTGGTGGTTAAAATGATAACATGTGGGTAGTTCACCTTTTGTAGCATAATACAGAAAACCTGCGTGTCTAGGATTATTAATACAGGTACAACAACAATTTTCCAATAACGGATCGTCCAACCTCTGAGTCTGGACAAAATAATGATACTACTTTTTTGACAAAATAGTTTACCTGGTGGCCACAGATGGTGTTATATGTACTCTGTTCTCATATTAGTGATCCCTTGATTCTATAAAAGTCTTAGCATATTTGCTAACAACTCTATTACTAGTGATAAGCTCAGCAGCTACCATAAAATTCTAAGATTTATTACTTTGGTAGTGATAATACTGCAGTATTCTTTGTAAGTACAGTAATAAACCTGTTTCATTTAAACTGATGTTTAATTAAGGTTTCCAGTAGACTAAGGTGGGTCAGAGGTGTTTTGTTGAATTATGTGACCTCTGTTATTCAGGCAAAGTTGATATACCCTTCAGTTGCAAATAAAATGATTGCTACCAGGGCATGACTATGTTAGCCTCAGTATTTTTAATCACTCAGTCAGTTCAGTTTAAGAAAGGTCTGTAGAGAAATACAAGGTTAATAATAATGTAAGTAAATTAAGATGTTAAACTTGAGTAATACAACGCTGCAAAGAGGGATGTGTGAAAGGAGTGTTTGAAGGGTACGAAGGAGCAAGAGGCAAGGGTAGAGGGGTAGTGGGTACAGGTGAGAGTACAGGAGTAAAAGCTACATCAAAGACCCTCTTTAAGAGGGATTCCTTGATTTAAGAATCTGGACCTTTTGTCTACTTCTCGGACCAAGTCTAATTGCCTCCCTCCCTCACTTCTCCCTTCCCAACCCCATTTCCCTTCCCCTTTTCTTCTATCCATTAGGCCTTAAACTTATAGCTCATGGGTTGGGGGAAAGTGAATCTTCTGACCTGTTTCATGGAGGTCCTCTGAGGTGGTGGTGTTTGCCATGGAATATGGATCATCTGGGGATGTGCTGATCTGCCCTCTGGAGTTCCAGAGAGCAGCTTTGGGTGTCCTTAAGGTGATGGGTGTATCTCTGGAGGCTGCCTGTCAGCCAAAGGAGGTATGCCTCTCGGCGGATTTCCTACTACCCTCTTTTGTCTGCCAAGGTGGATGTGAAGTTGCTATCCTGAACTGTCGGTTTACTGGCATGAAGGGTAGAATTGGGAGCAGGTTCTATGCAGCATCTGCACTATCTGCTCCATGGAGCTACCCTCTCCCCCTCCATCCTTTCCTTCCTTTTTTTAAGTAAAAAAAATAAATGAAAACTATCATGGACACTCATATCCATGATCTGCCTCCTCCTGGGCCCCTTCCTTCTCGGCTTTATCCTTAAATGACCCCAGCACAGCCACAGCTCTTTCCACAGACCATTCCACAGACTGCATCCTGGTTTGGGATATGGGAACAGTACAAGTAAAGAGCAGTATGAGGAATAATGGGGTGTCTTATGAAAATGATTTGTTACGTTTTAGCTACAGTGGTAGCTCAGTTGGAGGCACAGTAGCATACTGAAGAAAGACAACTTACAAGGTGACAGTCTGCACAAGTTTTAGCAAAATCAACAACATACAGAAATGACCAAATATTGGTAGGGAGAATAGAGACATGATCATTAATAGCTTTATCTTCGACTTTGTCAATATAAAAGCTATTATTTATTCACACACAGTAGTGCCCCTCCAACAAGAAATCTGTAAGAAAAGTGGCAAATTGTCTTGGAGGAGGCATGACTGAAGTACCTGGCTAACAGATAACTTTGACATCAGCAGTTTTCCATTGCAGAGGGAGAATCCCTTAGGATAGAACAAGACTGAAAAATGTAAGAGGACGATGAGTGCCATAGAGTGCAAATGTTAAAGCATACAAACATGGATGTCATCAGGCTCAGCTGCCTCCAGCTGGTATGTGGAAAGGGTAGATGAGAGTTTAAGGAGGATGAAAAGTACTTCTGAATGCGAGAAGTAAAATCCAAAGGAGCTGACTCCCCTCTCAGTCTTAGAGGAAAGATATGAGAGGAGTGTAGTGGAGCCCTTGAGACATATAAACAAGGTGATACCCATTTGCTATGGCAACCTCAATAGGGTCTGCAACACAGCACACAAATAAACCGCACATATAAGAGGGGAGCTTATGACGACGTTTCGGCCCGACTTATACCATTTACAGTCACACAAGTGTGGTTGTCACACTAATGTGACTGGTCACCTTAGGTGAGGAAGGGGAGGGCATTGCAATTGATGCTGCAGCAAGAAGAGAGGTAGAAAACTGTAACAACTTGTATGTTGAAGAAAAGATGTATGGTGTGAAGAAAGTACCCAATATGCTTGCTGAAACTGTCAACTGGAGTGACAAAGTTGTCAAGCATAAGAATGGAAAGTAATAAGAGGAAAATTATCACTGACATGAAGATCAGGCTCGACAGACAGATCATAGTCCAGTGCTGTAGAAGAGCATAGATCAATACAGGAAAGAGTAAAAGTGTGAGGGTCGAAGTGTGTAGTGGTACCAGTGTTTAAAAAATGGAGAGAGAGAGATTTAAGGAAAGCCTCTTGACTGGTCCCCATGAGTCACAGTGAAAACCTCAGAATATATCATGAGTTAAAGTCACCTATTAAAAGGAGTGACAATCGTAATGACACGATTGCAAACAAACCATACCACGGGCGGGAATGGAACCCGCAATCATGTCAACAAACAAAGAGATAGTAGAGGTCAACGAGTGACTAGCTCCCTAAAGGTTTACTATACAAATAGGAGTCTAAGAAATAAGACCCCTCAAGGAAGGTTCCTTGATGTTGGTGAGGGGCTCTTGATTTAGGGAATTGGATCTGTGCTCCAGTTCCCCGAATTAAGCCTGAATGCCTTCCACATCCCCCCCCCAAGGCGCTGTATAATCCTCTGGGTTTAGCGCTTCCCCCTTGATTATAATAATAATAAGAAATAAGACAGATGAGCTAAAATTACTTGCAAGTGTAGGTAATATAGATATTATTGGTATAACAAGAGACCTGGTTCAACCTGAAAGATAGAGAAATGCCTTCTGAATGCAACATACAGGGTTATAAACTATTCCACACTGATAGGGTCAACAGGAAGGGTGGTGGTGTGGCGATGTCAGAGAAAATTTAAATTGTTGTCTTAGACATGATAAAAGATTAGAAACATCAAACACAGAATCGGTTTGGCTACAGTTTCTCGAGGGATGTGACAAATTAATTTTGGGTGTGATTTATAGGCCCCCAAACCTTGATAGGGAGTGCAGTAAGCTGTTATGGGACGAAATTCATAAGGCATCTAGATATGAAAATGTGATAATGGGAGATTTTAACTTTAGACAAATTGATTGGAACAATATGACAGGAAATCTTGAGTCTAGTGACTTTCTTGATACGGTTCAGGATTGCTTGTGACAGAACCAACTAGAGGAAACAATCTGCTTGACTTGGTTCTTGCCAACAAAGATTAACTAATTAATAATCTTGAGGTTAATGATAAGCTTGGGGAAAGTGATCACAAATCACTTAGTTTCAATATATCATGGAATTACCCAGATAACTGCAATCAAATCTATGTCCCAGATTTTCGCTTGGCCGACTTCATGGGACTGAAACATTACTTGGGTGGGCTAAATTGGGATGTCCTGACTATGGGTCAGGTAGGTGATCTTGGTTGCCAATATGACGTTTTTCAGAGCATAGTTCTAGCTGCCCAGACAACTTTTGTTCCGAGTAGGGAAATTAGATCTAACAAAAATGATCCCAAATGGATGAACAATAGATTAAAACATCTCATTGGTCAAAAGAGAGGCATATATAGGCGTATCAAAAGAGGGAATGGGCAGTTAAGTAATCAATATATTCAATTAAAGAGAAAAAAAAAAGGAATAAGAAAAGCAAAAAGGGATTATGAGGCTAATGTCGCAAGGGATTCAAAGACTAACCCAAAAGGGTTTTTTCAGGTATACAGACCCCTCAAGGAAGGTTCCTTGATGTTGGTGAGGGGCTCTTGATTTAGGGAATTGGATCTGTGCTCCAGTTCCCCAAATTAAGCCTGAATGCCTTCCACATCCCCCCCCAGGCGCTGTATAATCCTCCGGGTTTAGCGCTTCCCCCTTGATTGTAATAATAATAATCAGGTATACAGAAGTAAGATTAGGGACAAGATTGGCCCACTTAAGAGTAACTCTGGTCAGATCACTTACAGAGATAAGCATATGTGTGAAATTCTAAATACCTACTTCCTCTCAGTTTTCACCCAGGAAAATACTAGCGATATTCCTGAAATAATGGATTACATAGAACAGGATGATGATAAACTATGTACGATTGCGGTAACTAGTGACATGGTCCTCAGACAAATAGAGAAACTAAAACCTAACAAACCCCAGGTCCTGATGAACTGTTTGCAAGGGTGTTAAAGGAATGTAAAGAGGAACTTAGCATACCTTTGGCTAATCTTTTTAACATATCACTACAAACTGGCATAGTGCCTGATAAGTGGAAAATGGCAAATGTAATACCTATTTACAAGGCAGGTGACAGGTCCTTGGCTTCGAACTATAGACCAATAAGCCTTACCTCCATAGTGGGAAAATTTATGGAATCTATAATTGCCGAAGCAATTCGTAGCCATCTTGAGAGGCATAGATTATTCTCAACACGGTTTTACAAAGGGGCGTTCCTGTCTTACGAATTTACTAACTTTTTTCACTAAGGTGTTTGAGGAGGTAGATCATGGTAATGAACATGATATTGTGTATGTGGACTTCAGTAAGGCTTTCGATAGAGTTCCACACCAGAGGCTATTGAGGAAACTTAGGGCACACGGAAGAGGAGAAATTTTTTCCTGGGTGGAGGCATGGCTGACAAATAGACAGCAGAGAGTTTGCATAAATGGGGAGAAATCAGAATGGAGGCACGTCACAAGTGGTGTTCCTCAGGGGTCAGTGTTGGGCCCGTTGTTCACAATTTACATAAACGACATAGACGAGGGAATAAATAGCGACATAAACAAATTTGCTGATACCAAAATAGGCCGTCCAATTCATTCTAATGAGGACATTAGAGCACTCCAGGATGATTTGAATAGACTGACGCAACGGTCGGAGAAGTGGCAGATGCAGTTTAATATTGACAAATGCAAAGTTCTAAATGTTGGACAGTTAAATAACTATGCCACATATAAACTAAATAATGTAGATCTCAATACTACCGATTGCGAAAAGGATTTAGGAGTTTTGGTTAGCAGTAATCTAAAACCAAGACAACAGTGCATTAGTGTTCGCAATAAAGCTAACAGAATTCTTGGCTTCATATCTAGAAGTATAAATAATAGAAGT